CATGAGCCCTTGATAGTTTATAAATGGGTATTTTGTCATATCTTGCCCTGTCCGACTTCTCCTTGATTTGTTTTAAAGGTCGAGTAGACAAGCCTTTCTAATAGACTGGATATGATATTTGAGAGAAAAAAGCCGCAAAAATTGACTTCAAAATTATTTTTTGTTGTTTTCTTTAGTATAAAGAAAAACAACAAAAAATAATCCTTCTGGCCCATAGACAACATCAAGATCAACAAAGAAAAGACTCAAGTTGTCAAGACTTTCATTTGTCTTTGATCCACAATCAATGCTGGCGGAGGCAGCAGTCAAGAAATCAAATCACATATTGGATTGGGAAAATCTGCTGTAAAAGATTTCTTTACAGGGTGTCACTTGGAGGATTAACATGTGCCTCACATGGTCATTTTAATCTCATGTTCCTATGAAAGCTGAACAATGAATAAGAACAATTGTTGTATTTGCCTTATGATATTGGGGAATAATATTGAAAGTACGTGGACTGTCAGCAGAACAAAGAAATTTGTCTTGGAAGAAGGAAAGTCCGAGTGCTACTTAGAAGGGAGGATGGTGAGACTTCATCTCACATACTTTGGGCATGTCATCAAAAGGGACCAATTTATAGAAAAAGATGTCATGCTTGATAAACTAGAGGGTCAGATCATATTGATTTAATGTCACCTCATAAGAATAGTAACTCAGTCCAATTTGGTTCAAGTCTCGGCTTTTCTTGACTATTCTTGGATGTTTACAATGCTTGAGGATGGACATTGGGATATACTGGAATGATAGAAACTGCTCAGTGGTGCTCCCCTTCAAGGGCAGTAAGGGAAGCAAGTATTGGAGCATTGGAACCAATTATGGGAAGGTCAGGGCATTGCTATATCCAGTTGGTGGGTGGAAAGTGTGTCAGATAGGCAAGGGGGCATGGGAGGCATGGGCAGTGGGTGTCTAACGGGTAAGTATACGAAGAGAGACCTATATCGAAGTACATGGGTGGGATCCGAAAGGGCTGGCTGAACCTGGTTCTGGACTTCGGGGGTACCACCACCACAGCCACCAGGGGTTGGCCAAAGTTGGCGGGGAGCCGGTGGTGATGGAGTGACTGGAGTCTCTTTGGCACAACCTGCAGGAGAATCGTAGCAATGCCAAGTCCACATGACATGTGAAAGGGGTGGGGAGTTCAGATGGAGGCAGCAGGTGACAGGGTGGAAGGGTCTGAGGATAGGGGAGACCCCTGATAGAAGCACGCACTGTTTCTGAGGCAGCAGGCAGTGGTCTGGAAGGGCGGGCTGCGCCGGCTGCTGCTTTGCCTTGGTGGGCTCTGGTGCTGCCACCTGGGGGCGTCGGGCCACAAGTCCTGTGGGGAGACTGCTTCTGGGAGCTCAGCCCTAGCACCTGCTGGGGGAGGGGAGAGAGGGGCGCAAGGCGCTGAGAGGCGGGCGCCAAGCGAGTGAGTCACTGATTTCCCGGGTTAGGAGCAGAACTTCGCCTCCAGCTTGGGGTCGGTATTGCATCGCTGGCTCCCAGCGACTCACCCCCGCAGACCGTTCCCTTCCTGGTGCTGGACCCGCCGCCTTTTCCTCTAGGTGAGGACCAGGTAAGTTTCTCATCTCTTGATGCTTCCTGCCAAGGCAGCTACAGGGGCTGGGGGAGGAGGGTCTTCCATCTCCCAGCCCTTGTCTGTCTGTCTGCCTTTGCACCTTCCTCTGGTTCTCTTCATGGGAGGCAGAAAGTTAGATTTTTAAAACGCAACAGAGAATGTAAAATTCGTGGTCAAACTCTGGGGGCGAGATTCTTAATTTTCAGGATACCGTCAAATGTCGGGGGGCGGCGTTTATGGGGCTCAGAATATTTGTTTAATTTGTTTCCAATATTTCCCTCCTCCCCTGCTTTCTTCCTGGGGGATTCTTGGAGGTGGAGAAGGAGAGCAGGAGGGCTAGCTGGGATCCTGTGCCCGGGCGGTTTCCATTCCCTTGGTGAGGGAGCAGATGTTTTACGGTAGTGTGAGTTTGGAACTTGAAATAACCCCCTGCAGCCCAGGACGTGCCCGAGCTGTAAAGCAAGCGCATTTCTTGCCAGCTATCTTGTCACTATTTACTGAATCAAAACATTCCGGAGGTAAAATAATGGTAATGCCATGGTAATGTTGAAACAGTTCATCCAAAGACACGATTGTATTTTCTTTGAAATGTATTGTACTCCAGAGGGTGGAAAAATTAGGAGAGGTCTGCTGGTGTTATGTTCTCTGTTTTCAGAAATGTTTCAAAACCTAGTACTTCCCTTGTTAGAAATCAGTGAGGGCTAGTTCTGTTTCTTTTAAGAATGTAACAATGCAAACCTACTTGTTTTCCTATGCTTCAGTTCATGTGTGTGTTTGCATGTGGGGGTGGGTGGGGGAGGGGGAGGGAATTCTTTCCCTGACTCCTTTTAGAAGAGCCAATGCCTAGAGGAAGCGTCCCTCTTTTTCCATTATTAAGTGCAAAGTGTTTCCATAAATATTAATTGTTGCTGTCGTGTTTTTTTAATTAAAAATTGTTTGAGAATAATTGCTACTGTCTTTCGGATTAAGAGCAGCAGAAGGGACAGCCTCCTGGAATGCACACATTTGTGTTTCATGTT